CACTCTGGTCTTGGTCTTGTCTTGGTCTCGGGTTAGGTGGTCTTGAACACAACACTGATCCAACCTGTAGTGTTCAGACTGTAATGAAAAGATCGATACAGGTCGCATTACTCAAAAAAAAAAAAAACTGGGATTGAGTCATTTGGGTCACTAAGGCTGTGTTCACACTGTTCACACTGCAGCCTTAGTTCTGTCACTGTTATTTGGAGACATTGCTGGAAGCATTTATTTTTCTAGTCCCAAGAAATAGATCCTGATTTTGTTTAAATGCTCCACATGTAGCAGGTTGCAGTTTACGGGTCAGAAAACTTCTCTTCTTGACCATTTTGCTTCATATTGTGTCCATCTTTATTCTACTTTTACAGGAGTTCAGACCGACTGTCAGTCGACCCACAAAGGAATCAACATTATTGCGCCAAAACATATTAATGCTCTGAGTGGATCCTGTTTGCTAATTCCATGTAGCTTTACTGACCACAAGGAAATGAAGGTTGACGGCAAAAGAAAACCATCTGGAATTTGGATAAGATCTACAGTCTGGGTTGCCAGTTATCCACGTCTTGTGGTTTACAACAGCAGTTGGTCAAAAAACAAATATGAAATGAAAATGATTGGAGATCTGAGTGAGAAAAACTGCACAACTGTGTTTTCTAATATACATCCAAGTCATACAGACCGTTACTTCTTCAGTATTGAGAATGGGCTTCTCAGATCGTTTGCTGTCTGTGATCCTGTTCTTTTAATAATTAAAGGTGAGAGCCTTTTGTTTTTATTTATATTTGATATTCATATGTAGAGAAAATGAATTATGATGCATTTTTGATGTAAAACAAACTCCATGAAACTTCACTGTAAAATAATATATGTTCTGGACAACAGGATCAGAATCCAGAGTTAAAGAAAGCAGTTTGTGAACACAAAGTGGATGTTTTATCTAACTTTATCTTTCAATGTGCTCTAACCGTCATATTTATCATACACCATTTTGCTTTGCTCAACAAGTGTTTAAAGTGGAGTCAGTCTGCTGTATCTCACTGTGTAAAATGTGTGTGTGATGTGAAAGCACAGATTCTGCTTGGAGCCCCAGGATTGATATCTCAGGTGTCGTGAAGGAGAATAACTCTGTCACCGTAACGTGCTCAGCTCTCACTCCCTGTCCATATTCACCTCCTCAACTCGCCTTGAACCTCCAGCCAAACCCTCACAGACAGATGGAGAGGAACACAGATGGAACGTTTACAACTACAATCCAGCAGAACATCACTCTGTCATACATATATGATGGATTCAACATCATCTGCTCTGCCAGATATCCTGTAAATGACAAGAAACCTGATAAGGGAGCAATGGCAAAATTCACTCTCTTTTTTTCCTGTAAGTAATACCACCAGAACATCATGGTTTAGCTGGTTCTTGTCAGTAATCTGGATGTTTGCTACATTTTCCTCAGATGCTCCCAAAGAAACCTCAGCATCCATCAGTTCATCAGAAGACAACTGGGTGAAGCTGCATTGCTCCTGCAGAGCCAATCCTCCCGTCAGAGTCTTCACCTGGTTCAAGAACAGCACAAATGGAGCCATGAAAGTAGCTGAAGGAGAAAATTATGGAGTCCAGGTCACTGAGGAGGGAATTTATTACTGTGCGGCCACGAATGATGTTGGTAGTCAGACATCTCCAGAGATTCATCTTTCTGTAAAACAAAAAGGTAAATAGAGAAATATGGAAGGATGTTACTGTGGCTGAGTCACCAAATCAAGTTATTTAAATGTTGCAAATGAAAACATATTTAAACAATCACATTGATTCAGCTTTTATTTTTCTCCATTCAGTGATTGAGCCGACTCATAAAGCCGTTGAAAGAAAAGGTACCCATCTATTTCTCTGAAGAATTTTCTGTTCACTGTTAGGAACCTGGGTTGTTGAGCTGTTTTGGAGTTTGATTCTGATTTTTGTTTCATTATTTTTCCTTGTTAGTTTCTTATTTTGATCCAGTTAGTCTGGATCAAAATAGATCCAGACTAACCTGGATTAGTCTTTTCTTAGTGATTCTAGTTTATTTCGTGTGTCTAATTATTCTTTAGTGTTAAATTTATTTCCTAGTTCCTTGTGTACTCTCCCACGACTTCTGTGCCACGTCCCCCCTCTCTAAATCTCCCTCTCAGTCTGCCTTCTGCTCTCTCCCCTCACACCTGCAATCAGCTAGCTCATCAACCCAGGTCTTTTGTTCAGCACTCTATCTCCCAGTACTAAAGCACCTTATTCTCAGTCACTCCTCGCTGGTTCCTCTCATGTACTCCCATTATTCTTCCCATCTGTTCCCTGCCATCCTTTCCCCTTGGATTTATAATTTGTGACCTGAACTTAATGGAGTTAGCTCCTCGGTTCCTGAGCTCCACAGTGACTCTGTGTCCAAGAGGGTCGAGGTTGACCCGCCGCTGTCCCCAGTGCTTTGTTGTGGGTCCTCAGCTACCAGGCCTCAGCATTGGGTCAAAGACATCCCCAGGTCTCAATGGGATGACTTTACAGTTCTTTAGCTGATGCTGGCCCCCAACCTTCAAGCTCCTCCTCTGTTTTGGCCTCCTGACTAACAGGATCGTCAAGCCTTTGGGTTCCACTGGCCGAAAGGCAGACATCCAGATCCTCTTTCTGCATTCCATCAGTCGAATCCTCTTTGTGGGTTCCTTCACCACAAGGCTGACCTCAGGACTTCAGGGTCTTCCGTCACTAGCACCCTGCAAGGTTTCTGCTCCTTTGTCGCCGCACATCAGACTCTCTGCTCCTTTGTCTCTCAACTTCTTTGTCGACACACATCAGTATCTGGCTGTCTTTCCGAAGCCCCCCTCCAAACACCCTGGTTAGGTTGTTTTTTTTGTTTTGGACTTTTATTGCCATCTGGTATACATCTTGAAGTCAAAAAGATTTCTTTGTCTGATTCTGCAAAAAAACAATCAATTAAATGAAGTTTTGGTCAGCCTCCAGTTGCTCCATACTTCTTGTATTTTATATTCAACATCAAAGTAAAGGCAAACTGTTGAGGTTTTTAGTTATAAAACAAAAAGCTAACTACTTGCTTGCAAGTCATGTTTTACCTTGTTATACAAATGGTTATCAAGTAACATATTTACAATGGTGTAAGAAGTTGTTTTAATGGTTAGCGTCAGAAATATCTGTCTTCAGGTTTTTTCGCTTCTTCTTTTCCCAGGAGCTGAGAGTTCTCAAATTGAGATTACACTTATTGTAGCAGTCGCTGTTGTCATACTTATCTGCCTGCTCAAAATCGTCATGTGGTGAGTATTTTCAGCAGTATTTTGTGAACTTGAGTAAATGTACACCTGGAAACTATTCTCAGCACTTAACTGTTTCTACATTTTGTTTAAAACGTTCTTACTCTTGATTATTGCATTAAATTAATTTCTTTCCTAAAAGTTCTACACAGAAGTCCCTCAGTATGACAATATGGGACGAAAAAAGTTTTGTTCAAATTAATTATATATATATATATATATATATATGTATATATATATATATATATATTTTTTTTTTTAATTGTTGAATTTATTTTTGTTGAAATAAATAACAAATACCCTCAACATTATATGGTCTTAATATAAAATTAAGACATTAATTACATTTCAAAAATTGAACCTCTGTCGTAACTTAATGTACCTGAGTTATTTTTGATTAAACAAAGAAAATATTCTTTATTTTTTGTTACCTCATCTAATTTTTTTCTAAAGCTTCCCAAACGGTGAATGTCGACTCTGTTCCATTAAATCTAATGTTGTTCAACACAAAAACCAAAACCAGAAAGAAAAGTTTGGAACAACTCATCCACAGTGTTACACACAGAAACAAAGTCACCTGAAATAGTTTCACAAGGTGGTGGCCTCCACTTTCCACTGGCACCAGTTGGGAGAGGGCCAGACAACCAGTGGTATATTTTCAGTAGCGTATTCTTGGTAGCCTCTGCAATGCCTGATGGACCTTTACATCTGCTTAGATTACTCTAAAATCTAAAAAAGTATTTGTGTATACATTTTGTTTTTGTAATTTATGTAAATGTGATTTCTTGGTTTTCCAGTTTAATCAATTTGCAAAGCTTTTTTCCAGCATCGTCATAATGACACATTGGTGGGGAGAATTTTGAGGAAAGAGATTGATTTGTTTTCTGGATGCACTGAGCTTCTTATGTGTAAAAATAAATAGTTTGGGCTCCAAAAACGTCTGCATCCTACAGACTCACTCACTACTAATTCCAGAACTTGTTCCTGTCTTGAATCATGAAACACAATAATTATTCTCACTGTTCTATTATTTCTTCCAGGTTTGTAAAGGTCAAAAGTCCAACCCCACCACAGGTCAGTGTAGTTGTAATACTACACCGTCATGATTACAAAAAATCATCATGAACAAATTATGTATCAATATGCTCTTTAAAAGAGTCAAAATCATCTGTTGGTAATCATGACTGTTTTATCTGTTTGTTATATTTCTGTTTTCCCTTCTGACTTCCCACAGACTCCAGTTACTGACTAACTGGGCCTTGATTTGTGGGCCAGTACCACTGAGGGAGCTGTTTAACATGAGGATCTAAACTTCTTGATTAAACATCTTCCTCCTTGCGTAGCAGCAGGCAGCAACAGAAGACGACGTACACACAGATCTCTAAGAAAAAGCAACTCAGCAGAGTCTGACTGCCCAGAGGTCATCAAAACAAGGGAATAAACAGTGACCTCTTATGGATAAAGACACTTTCTGTCTGTAGGATGTTAGTTTCATCTAAGAAAACCTGTTTTCATTAGGATTTTACTGCTAATTGTTAAATAATTGGGATCTCTAATCTATCACACCCAAACTGCTGGCCTTACTTTGTAATAATGATAGCTGCAATTGATCTAACTGATCTATTTATGATATTTGTGGAGTTGCCCTAAAAAGTTATGCAATGAAAAAAAATCTTTATACAACCATTCAAAGCAATCTTCAGTCATATTCATGGAATTAGAATACTTGAACGGCACATTTACTCAAAGGGGCAGTATTATGTGTTTTCCAGTGCTATTTTATTGCATAATGGTAACTTAAGTTGTTATAAAAATGTTATATATGTGTATGTTTGTGTCTCTTTAAAAACGCCTGTCCTTTACGAAACATTTGTGCCAGCTTTGCACTGAGAAGTAGCTCTTATAATGAGCTCAGCGGATGTGCAGTTCCACCAGGTGTTTGCTAATTGCTGTTGGCTAGTCTGAAGGAGCTGAGTGGAGTCAGGGAAGTGGTGCTCTGTGAGCTCAGATTTTCTGTTAACAGCTTATGAAAACACATTTAAAATTAGAATATTACATCAGACAAATAAAAAAAAAACTTTTTCATTCAGAAACATTGGGTTAATAAAGAAAGGGATCTTAATGCCTGCTTAGAGGTTGTTTTCATTTTCAGGTACTTTAAATCTGACAAATGAACCTCATTAGAAGGCAATTTTTCTGATACTGAAAATAGAAAAAAAGAACAAAAGATTTAAATAAATCTACCAGGTATTTTTCTTTAGATTTCCAATAGAGAAACAGGTGGAAGAAATCTGGGCAAGTTAATTAACTGGTGTTAATCTGCTTTATTAAAGTCTTAGGATTTAAGTCAATTTCAAGGTTTAAATAAACCCGACATATTATCTTAATTATGATTTTCACCATTTGAGAGCCAGTGAGAACGCCAGCTGCTGTAGTTCAGAGAGAAAATAAAGGCTTTAAATATTTGTGTCGGTCTACAAATCACTGAATGGTTTAGCAACGCAATACATTAAAGATCTGCTGTTGTTGTATTGACCTCTTAGGTCTTCTGGTTCTGCTCTGCATCCCTAGAACCAGAACCAAACACGGAGAAGCAGCATTTCTTGCATTCATTGTCTATGCACCTCAAAACTAAAACTTCAACTCAAACCTACCTGTTTAGTTACTTTTGAACTGTAATAAATGGAACATTGACCAACATATGTGATGAGTATTGATGATTTTAACAATGGCATTCAGTGTCTGTTACAGGTTTTCACAATTGTTGACTATATGATGTTAATTTTTATATTTTCATAAAAACATATAAAAGTGCCTTGTTTCCGAAATTCTCTATACATTTAAACCAGTTGTTATTCGCAACTGATTTAAATGGAAAGATTTTATTAGAAAAAGCTACTCTGCAGAGTTCTGATTGTTTTGCAGTGCAAAACTATTTGTTGTGCTGCTGAGGTTTATGATGACTGGAGTAACTAGCAGTTTGAAAAAAGGTATTATGTAATGACAGATAAATCCACTAGAGGGCAGCATCACTCCAGCAGTTCCTGAATGTGTTTTAGCATTTTAACTTGATGAAACTTTTGCAACCAGTTTCCTTCACATCACTCACACCAGGACTCAAGCAAACAAATCAGTTTAAATGTTTGCACTAAAACACAGGAAAGATAATTTAGACGTTTTTGAAAAAGGTAGTCCTAACAAGAGCAGCTCTTTGCACATCTAGACGGTCACAGCAGTACCAGAGGTGGTGGAGTGGTTCCCATCTGCTTACATTGATCTAGGTAAAATGACAGCAACCCTTTTGCTCTGCACAGGCCTTGGGATCTTGTTACGGTGCACCATCTTCGTTCAGGCACAAACGGGCCTCTAAAATATCTCCGTCTACAATCGCTAACATCAGCTCTGGTCTCTGACAGCCCTCTTTGGACAGCTTCCCACTATAGTAACTCACAATCCCATCTCACAATTAGTACTCGGATACTAATTAATTCAGTGTTTGAAATAAAACACCTTTTATCCAAATAAAACTGAATTCGGGTGAAATATATCCATGTTCTTATGGTTTGAAGTTACTTGAAGTGAACCAGCTCAGGTAACTTTCACAAAGATTTTAATGAATATGATAAGCTTATAAAATTGTAGAACTGTTTAGGCATGATAACAACATGCACAACATACAGAATCATTTACTCCTGCACACATGTGGCAGCTGTCTTGTAACCACGCAGCACCTCATTCCCAACTGAGATTTGATGAGACTTTACAAACTAAGGAGACACCCCTGCCCACCATCCCTCTCTGCTGTGACAAATCAACAGGGGACCTGTTTCAGAATAACAGCTTCTTTTAATTCTGTATAACTGACCCACATTCAGCCCACCCATGGAGCGTTGGCTCCAGTAATTTCCCTGACACAGCTGAGGCAGACACAGGAAACCTTAGGAACAGGACTTCACATATAACCAGAACCTGGAGGAAGTCCATTATGTGGTTAGAGGTATTTACATTGAGAGAGACATTCATAGTTAGCACGAGCTATTAATTGAAAACAATTCACAGGGCCGCTTCTAAACACATTATGGTGGGTTTAAGGCATGGGAGGGTTTTCTTAGGGTTCCAACAAACAGCCATAGCATAAGAAGCGAAATTAAAATAATTTTCATCACATTAGCCAGAGCATTCATACCCTTTGTACTTTAGAATGATGCTGTTTGATCTCTAATATTCTCTAACAAACCTCTGTACATCACACAGCTAATGTTTACCATCATCGTACAATCATAAAGTTGAATTAAGGGGAATTAATGTATCCTACTGAAACCCCCTTGTCAACAACTTAACCTCTGCAGCCTGTTTACTCAGTTACGTCCCAGTGGGCGATCGCTGTGACAACAGAGTCTGACGGGAGGGGACTGCTTATGGGCTGCACTTTCTATATTTCACTGCGTATAGCAGTCAGCTGCACAGACATGCCCTTCAGTGGCATTCTGAAAGTAAATCCAAATGATTCGTAAAATGACACTGGATATGCTCGCATATCACAAATATCAACATCTGTAAGTTGAGTCAAATGACAGTTTGCGGCCACATATGTTAAAGATGAAGTCACATGGGGGCAGGGCTTTTGGGAAAACATGTAAAAGACTGCCGACAGAGGAAATGTGTAATGTGGCAGAAAAAAACTGTTGAGGGTGATGTAAGACACTGACAGGAAAGTGAGACAATGGTGAAGTGTGTGGTAGGATTGGATGGTGGGTTGAAGGTTGGATTACATAAGAGAACATCACAAATCGCTTCCACTTTCTAGGTATGGGGCCTTGTGAGCTAGGTTGAGAGTGGTAGAAAAGGAGGAAAGATGCTCTGAAGAGATGGCAAATGATAATCAGAATTGTAGTCTGTCTGTATAGGGTTGAAGCTGGGGAGGAAGTGAACAAAGTCATTAAGTTTGTATTGATCACGCTTCCAAACATTAAGCAATTAAAGTCAAAGCAGGAGGAATGTATAAGATATTTTATTGATCAGCAAAAATGTTGTATATGTTGTGTGTATATGCAAGCCCATTACATACATGATATCCAAAGATTAGCAATTGTGTAAAATAAGATCTATTAATTTAAAACTTCAACAGAATCCATGTCTCCTGCAAGCAATTGTCAATATCCGAGAGACCACTCCTTCTGCGAAACAAAGCATAGAATCAGATGCTGTTTTTTTGTTGTTGTTTATTTTACCAGGCTGAGGCTGCTATGAATCCGATGCTCATTACTTAAGCAACATGTGAAAATAACTTTTGCACTTTTTACCTAGATTGTTTTGTACAGTTTTTGTTGATCCTCCATATCTTCCCATCTAACTTATTCTAACGGGTGAAAAAAAATAGAGTGGCCGGGATGGGGATCAGTGCCTCCAAATCCGAGGCCATGGTCTTGAGCCGGAAAAGGGTAGAGTGCCTTCTCTGGGTCGAGGAGTTCAAGTATCTTGGGATCTTGTTCATGAATGAGGGAAGAAGGGAGCGGGAGATTGACAGACGGATTGGCACAGCGTCTGCAGTGAAGTGGGCGCTGTACTGGTCCATCGTGGTGAGGAGAGAGATGAGTTAAAAATCAAAGCTCTCGATTTACCAGTTGATCTACGTTCCTACCCTCACCTATGGTCATGAGTTTTGGGTCATGACTGAAAGAACGAGGTCACGGATAAAAGCGGCCAAAATGGGTTTTCTCTGTAGGGTGTCTGGGCTCTCCCTTAGAAATAGGGTGAGAATCTCAGTCATCTGGGAGGGATTCAGAGTGGAGCCGCTGCACCTTCACGTTGAGAAGGTGCCGACAGAGGAAATGTCGGCACATTTCCTCTGTCGGAAAGGTGGCTCGGGCACCTCAACTGCCCGAGCCAGTTGAGGGATCTGGTTAGGATGCCTCCTGGACGCCTCCCTGGTGAGGTGTTCCGGGCGCGTCTCACTGGGAGGAGGCCCCGGATAAGAGAAAGTGGATGGATGGATGGATGGATGGATGGATGGATGGATGGATGGATGGATGGATGGATGGATGGATGGATGGATGGATGGATGGAAAAAATAGATAGCTTTCCTCTCTTTAAGTGAGCAAACTGAGCAAAAGACATTGGAGGCAGGGTGGAGTGAGTGGACAACAGTGTCAGGGGTAACATGTCACAACTACAGGAGAGAATGCAAAGGGTTACAAAATGATAGTGTGAACAGTTATGGATCATGATTTGGGGATGGTGGTGGCGCTAACAAAAAGAAAGAAGGCTGAACTAGAGGTTATGAAATCTGAGATGGATTAAAAACAACGCCTGACATTCTCTCACTCAAAACCCTTACAGACTGCAGCTGTTCTGGTACACAAGTAATCTGCAATTCATTCCTTCCAGCCTATGAATTACTCTATATTGAGGTGATGAGTTTAGCTGCGGATGAAACAAACAACATGGACATGGTG